AAGGTAAGAGAATTAAAAACCAAAATGCATCTAACTATCCTGCCACATTGTCGTAAGTCACTAAAGGAAACCTATAAGCACAGCTACAACGTCTTAAAGATGTTTAAAAGACAACGCCATGTTTGTAACTTCATATTTGTGGATTTAAAGAACTTTCTAGTGCCGGAAGTTGTTAAACAGCCTAATATTTAAACACAACTTACACGTACGTATATTGGGGTAACTCGTGTATTTTACAGTTTGTACTGTTTCTGCTTGTACTTTAAAGTGTGGTCATCTCTAGTGTCTCTGGAAACAAGGACAACAACTCACACTGTCCTTCTAGTTTACAGCATGACTCACTAATATATTTTCGTTTACCAATAACACAGAAATCATGTAGCCCAAGGAGGTTTTGTTGTTGCTTTCGTGTTTAATAGCTATGTAAAACTACATATGTTTTAAATGTTAGTAACATACAAATAATTTCTAGGTAACTGTTAAGACTAAAAGTTACTATTGCCAGATTGCTGTGGGTAAGCATGACTTGAAAGACAATGTGCACACACACAAAAGCTAAGCTTGCAGAAGTTTAGAAATGACAAGCTCAAGGATATAGCAGGAAAAACAAAAGGGGAAGTAATCAGTCCAACGGTTCTTAATATCTGACTTGAGTGGAAAGAGGCAAAAGTTTACCTCAGCAAAGACTACAAAACACGTGTCTCACAAACGACACCACCTGAGAGGCACGGCCAAGGCTACTTTAGTGCAAAAATCTACGGTACAAAGGGATAGAAATGACCACACAAATGTGATATCCTGAGGAAGCCTAAATAAAGAGCGAAAACCCATCGTAGTAGGGAAACATGACAAAGTAAAGCAATTTTCAAACTGTTAGTATTAACCCAAATGTTGACCTTAAACCTCAGCATCCTGTCAGGGCACAGAAACGCTGGCCTAGAAATATCCCAAAATATTCCTTAATTAATTTAACTCAAAACTGACCTTATTGGATATACTTCTTTTAAAATAAAGTACATTTTTTAATTAATTTATTTGTGTAAGGAAGACACCAAAATGTCAGAGGTCACCACAAAAGAGGGCTCTTTCCTCCCACTACATGGGTTCTGGGCATGGAACTCAGGTTGCCAGGCTTGGCAGAAAATGTGTTCCCAGATGAGCCACCCGGACAGACCTGAAGAACACTTTTTAAGAGACTTCTCCCAACTTTACATAGGAAAGAAGTAACAGCTATTCCACCATTAGGTTCGTGCTGAAGACATAGATTCTGAAAATCTCTGCTTGATAGAGAACTAAATTGTAACAGTTAGAAGGAAATTCAACAAAGTTTTAATCCAACTTTTATCCCAAAGCTAGATTCCAAAGGAAAGCATTTAACACCAGTTTCTTAGGAATTCACTGCAGGAGCCAGAGAGTGAGTTTGGTTATGAGACCTGACCGCTCCTGCAGAGGGTAAAGCTTGGCTCCCAGCACCTGCTTCAGGCAGTTCACAACCAACTGAAACTCCAGTTCCAGCGGATCCCACTCCCGGCCTCAGCGGGCACCTATACACATGTGGCACACACAGACATAAACAAGCACATACACACAATAAAATTTTAAAAGTTCAGTACATTAAAGACTCGATGCTGACTGCTGGAAATGACACAAATATGCTTAAATTACATCTTCCAACAAAAATTCGATAGGATGTCCCAAGGACTTAGGGCTGTGAAAGAAAACATCACACCACAAAAAGGAAGTTCTAAGACAAGAGCAGCAGCAGGATAAATTCCTTCAGAAAATATGTACATGGTGTCTGGGCTAAGCAAAGAACAAGGACTTGATTTGGGGCCCGTCACAAAGAGAAGAAAGGAATTTCAGGCAATGCAAAAGGGCTACCTTTGAACTGCCTAGACAACAAATGCCATTGCCTACAATGTTTCCTTGACAATGTCCACTTGTAAGGCTTGTGCTCTTGATATTCCTTCTCCAAGCATCAACTTTTGCATATGTGCACTCCTTTTTCTCTGCCTGCAATGCCCTGTCCTCCGGGTATCTCTCTGCAAGGCTGCTTTTCTTACCACGCTCAATACTTAGCTTAACCATTACTTCTTGGTGAGAATGTAACTGGCTGCAGTATTTTAAATTGTCATGCTCACAGTCGCTACTTTGTCTTGATTTATTTTTTTCCACATCATTTATTATTATTAATACCTGTAATATCATACAGGCTATTTGTTAGCCATGCCTACATCCTCCTACAAGCAGGAAGTGGATGTGTTTCTTCATTTACAGTGCCTACATGTGGCGGGCATGAAGTAAACATTTGATGACAATGGAATAAATGAACAAAAAATAGAAAAATAGAACCCCACAGGGGTTATAGTCTAGTGCAAGAAGCCAAGAAATAAATTACTTTCAACTATTTCTGAAAGACAATTTAGCACACGGTCGGGAGGAGCCAATTTGTAGCAGCTGACAGAGAAACAGTTCTGTCACACCACCTCTATACAGCCCGCATCCCTTTAAATTCCATCCAGCCTCACGCCGCCAGCAGCACTGTCACTCAAAAAAGTGCCACCACAGCTGCTTCAACTACACACTTTTTCCACATTAGCCGTCACTGCTACCTAATAATGAAAGGTAAAAGACAAGTCTGCTTCCACTGCTAGACAAAGCTGTATTTCTAGATTTCCAAGTTAAATTCATACTACATATGATTTAAGTCTACCTATAGTAGTGATTACCGTGAAATTATGGATTAGCTAAGGGACCTATTATTCTGAATAGTGCTTAATAATTAATTTTATAGTACTAGGGATTGAAGCCAGGACCTTGTGGACATGAGAAACACTATCACTAGCCCACTTTTTACTTTTTATGTTGAGACAGGATCTCACTAAATTGCACAGGCTGGTCTTGAATTCATAGACCAGGTCTTGCCCTTCCAATACTCCTGTCTCAACTTCCTGAGTAGCTGGAATTACAGATCTTCATCACCAGGCAAGACGGATGACTACTTAAATGTGCAGATTTAAATACAGAAAGAAAAAACAAACTCTTCAATATGATTTCACTATTGGAACATGCCTTTTCTACACAGCAAATGGTCTCAACAAGGGCATTTTAGGGAGTCAGGTAATGTCAAGCTAATGGCATTGTTTTCCTCAGAAGGGACAACTAGAATTTTATGTTGGACTCAAGAACGATCTAGACTTTTAAAGCAGCCCATTAGCGTTTACTTATACTAACGCTAAAAACCACATGGAAAGTAGAGCAAAGTGTTCTTCAGCATCAGGGAAAGCGAAGCAACTTAAGGAAATGCAGCGGCTCTATTTCTCACTTCAACCAACACCTCCACAGACTGCATTATCACTTCAGGCAAACTGACATTTTCACGTTTCATTTCTAATGGCAGGAATAATTTCCATCTGGGGCCATGCGCATAAAGTGTCGGTGTTGGCACATCTTCAACACTAAATTCAAAGTCCATGTCTGGCTATATGCAAAACGCCCCCAAGACAGCTACAGAGCTCACCCTACAAAACACAGCTCAGAGCATGACCTAGTCTGAGTTTTACCCTCAGGTAAGGCATAGGAACCTATCACCTCTCCTCCATCGTTTATAAGTGATCTTCGTGACTGTAAAATCTTCTACTCCTGGCAATACTAAACAACGTTCACAGTTCTAGAAGAGAACTTTCACAGATGCTATTTCCTGTCAACCAAAACTCAGGGCAAATGCCTTTATGTTATGGTTTAAAGAAGACAAACCACACCAAAATGAAATCGTTAACTCCGAGATGCAGAGTCCCCTTCCGATGGATCAACGACTTACGCTGCCAGCTATGTCAAGAGTGGATTCAGAGAGGTTTAAAAGCCCAATCGCAACGCCAGGTCCCCACTTAATTTCCTCAACAGTCACACGGGGGCTTGGGAGGCTTCCATATGGAAACACACTGCACACATTGGTCAGGGCGTGCGGCGAGCCAAAGTTGCTGAGCTCGCCGGGGATTAGGGCGGACAACACCGTGGCCCATCTGTCCCCGAGCGACAGAAAGCAATCCACCTGGCCAGGCTGGGCGACAAGGGAGTGGGACTGGGAGCGGCACGGCTGCCGTGCTGGAGCGGAGGTGCCGGGCAGGTGGGCAGCGCCCCTCGCGGCGGACAAACCGCCTCGCCCACAGACCGCGAGCCGCCGGCGGGGAGTGGCAAGCCGCTCCCGCTGCCCGAGGTGACAGGCGGGCAAGCGGT